TTTACATCGGTAAGAAATGCGGATTTGAAAAACTGGAAAAGTCAAAAGTCAAGTAATTTTTTTTATTGATAAACTTATACCAATCATATAACGACGCAGAATAACGAAATCTGCGGTAAGACTCTGAATATCACTTTTACCCCTATCAAACAAACATATTCTCATGCAAATAATGGCGGCACTTCGATAGCTTCACTGTCCAATACATTTCAAGCAAATACCTAAACGCTCACGTATGAAGCCTAGTAATTGAACGAAAATGCAAATAAAAACACCAGTTTTGTTAAATTAAGCGTTTGTATGAGAACATAAATCTAGTCAACCCTTACTTTCAGATATTGGACATAGATTGATGACAGATGAAATGCAATAGTCACATACTGTTCACTTGTTGTAGAAAAACATTTTTTCAGACCTCCAGTTTATGTACCTAGATGCCAAAGTAATTGACTCAGCTTCCTGATTTTGAGTAGAACCAATATTTCAAATGCTCTATGTATTTCTCTATTGATCACCTGTATAAATCCTTCTGATTTTTATTTTTATGGTATAGTGTTCTCTGAACTAGATGGTATAATTGTGAGGCGTTCATTGTCATTCTGGACAGTTTCAACAGTACAACATTCAGAAAGAACTAATTTATAAAATTTTCTTCACAAGTGACCTAGCAGCTTCTTCTGATGACCTTGGACGTGGTTACTTATATTTGCTAAAGTCTTGTCATTACCTTCACACGTTCTCCGATTGGCTATGCTGTTGAAGTGAACTTTAACTTTCGCAGTGATTCTTATTGTTTCATAGATTGGCTCAATGTCATTGTGTCTGTTGATTGTTTTGTGACCTGAGTGTCATACTCCTAAGAATTAGGTGGCATACTTTCTATTTTCTTTATCCACGGTTTCCACATTCTCCTACTTAAATTAATGTCCACAATTGTTATTATGAGCAAAAATATATCACGACGCTTCATGCTAGTTGACGTTCATATAAACGAGTACAAAAAAGCCAACCACTTTGTCCGATATAGTATTTTTTTGCAGTTTCTGCAATTTTTTATGACAATATCAAATCTGTTATAGTGTGGAATAAGATTTTCAAAATCTTCATAATTACCCGTAAACCGCTAAGGCGTTTCTCAACCAATCGCTTTGCTTCGAAGTTTCTAGGGGAAAAATGAGAACCAACACGTAAGTGTCAGGGTTGTTGAAGTAGCAAAAAATCAATAGGATTTAAATCTAAAAAGGCCTGGAAATAGTTATGTCCATATATATATATATATATATATATATATATATATATATATATAAACCTTGTTTTTCCATATATATGTTGAAGTTGTGAATACAACTTCTGTTATACTACTGCCTTTCCTATTACGGAAGAATTAAGCGACCAATAAGGGCGAAATCTGAAGGTTACTTTACAAACGTCCACATATACATAACTCAGGTTATATCAAGTAACCATTACATGAATATAACAAGTAAAAACAGAGGAGATATAATGGAGAAAACAAAAGAATTCATAGCTGAAGAGAAATCAGACAGCAAACTTCGATCACTAAAATAGATTCAAGAAAATTGGAAACAACAGTGTGCAAAAACTAACTCATAAGGATCAAATCTACAGCTACACTACCAACAATCCCCTACCACACAAAGTGAGCTGCACTGTTCAGAACAGCAAAGACAAGCAGCAGCACATCAGCTCAATGGGGAAAAGAAAGAACTACTAACTGACTGTTCTTCAGAAGAATGAGTATCTTCCCAACTTTATCAAAAGTTTTCTGTTTAATTTACCGTCAACCACAACATCATCCTTGGAACCCAACAAATGGACTATTTTACTTTACATGAAGAACGTCTATGAGATCGCGACTACATTATTAAAGCTTCTTGCATCGCTGTAGCTCCTAGACCCATGAAATCTCTTCACTCTTTGTTATGCAGGATAAAAGGTACTATAGCAAAGAAAGACAAAATAAACACTATCTACAAAAGAAAGTACAGAAACTGTGTGAGACTACACCGGACGGAGCGGCCGCACTCATAGTATCCGTCTTCTTGAACATCAGCTAGTGGTGAAGCGTCATGAAATATCTCCGCTTATATCAATGCATACAGACAACAGTGTACATAAATTTAACTAGAAGAGTGTGCAAATCGTGGATAAAGAAAATAAAAAGTATGCCACCGAATTCTTAGGAGCGTGGCACTTAGGTCATTCAACGATCAATAAACATACTGATACTGACCCGAATTATCAACTATTAGGTATTTTAAGAATCATTAGGAAGGTCAAAGTTTACATCAGAAGGACACCTAATCGGATAACTTATGGAGGCAATGACAAGATTTTAGCAGAAACAATTCATCTCATCTAAGGTTATCTCGAAGAACTATCAGGCCACTTTTGGGTAAAATTTCATAGTTTACTTTTTCTGAAGGTTATGGTGATAGTGGTATTGTCCAGTATGACACAGAAAGCTCAATGAATAAACCATCCAGCTTAGAGAACGCAATACTTCCAGCATAGTTCTCTTGAATCACAAATGTTCGTCATCATTTCAGTCTCATTATATCCTAACAACATTCGGCTCAAAATATAAATGGCAGTGGTTGTTCACTGGTTAAATACATAAATGTACGAAACTTTAATGACTTCAACTCCATATTAGGACCAATATTCTTAGAGAATTAGTTGGAAATGGAAGTTTACTTATGTCAATCAAACCTCAAAGTGTTGACAGTTCAACAAACCAAATTAGTATGAAGTAAGAGCAGTGCCATCATCTAACGTATGAATGAATAGGACCAAACACTTATAAAACTACATCTAAAGCATTTAGGGTGAACTAACCTGGCTTCTGTCCCCCAGTGACCTAGGGGATAAGGTTTTGACATTTGAAGAGAAGGGTTTTGGCTTCGCATTTCAGTTGGAACAACATCAATCACTGGGGTACAAGTGCATCCAGCCAACGAGTCCCAAAAAGGAGAAAACTTATGTCATGGATTCCACTGTCAGTCACCAAGAAGACTATATTAACATTCAATAATATGAAAAATATCCATACATCACTTCTTCCTTACAGTTTGGTTATTATTTTATCTAGGATGATGACAATCGTTTCATCATCATAGCATTCAGCTCATAGAACGCATCTGTGATAACGGTTGAACTTGAAGCCTACTAAATGGTAAGTTGTAGCTAATTTTCGAAGTGGTAATGTACTTAGTGTGAAAACCTAAAAGATATGAATGAAGATTGTATGACATTCTGTTTGAAATCAGTGACAAACTGAAAGGATATAAAGATAAAGAAACTGTGACTATGACCAGTTCTAACAAGAAATGTAAGAGAACAATATTGTTTTCAATCAGATCTCATCAGACTTCACTCTAATATGCATAACTTTCAACATATTTGTAAGATATCAACTGATCAAGGTAATTTACTCCTGTGGAGACAGTTACATCGACCATACGAGTAGGCAACTTGACCAACCTGGTACCGAACAACTACCTTCGTAAATGGGTAAAGGACAAGTTAAATCTATGAGCAGCTGTATTCTGTCGCATCTAGTTGATAGTGATCACAGAAGAGCTAAAATGAAAGCGTTCAAAGCAATTTACCGCATATTACCGAACCTTTCGGATGGAGTTCGAATCCACCTTTTTTATATAACTGAGGCTATAGAGATTTGAATAAGCAATCCAAATCTCTGTATCCAGAAGAAATTTGTACAACCTTTATTCCTGTCTTGGACAGGAAGAACCTAATGAGTGACCTTACTTATGCATTTTGAAATGTACTTCTTTTTATTTTTATTTCATCTTGCCACCCCTTTCCCATAACTACTATATTCACATTCAAATCTTATTTATTCACCACCTTCAACCTCCAGTAACACACAAACTTATTGTTATTTTTGGTCTTTCAATCTTTGACCGTTACATTGTTATGTCATTATGAACATTCTTATTAACCTTTTTATTTCCTTGTTACCGTTGTCCTACAAATTACCTTGATTGATTGTTATCTTACAAAATTTGTTAATAGTTATGTATATTATAGTGAAGTCTAATGAGATCTTATTGAAAGCAATACTGTTCTCTTACATGTCTTGTTATGATTTTCATAATGAGAATTTTTAGCACTGAGATCCTATGATGAATTCCTCAAATAATAGTCTCTAAATGAAAACTTCCTAAAACTGTTTAGTTGCTTAAAGTGTTTCCTGTGGAATTGATTTTCGACAAGAATTACTGTTTAATACCCTATTTACCGTGTTTATGAGGATCTGCATGACTAATTTGTATACTAACGAATTGAAATCAGTCAATGTATATATGTATATGTATATATGTATATATATATATATAACTTAGGTGAGTGATTCATATTTATTCACTCAATTGTTGAAGTATTATCGCTTATCCTTACTCAATTATAGATATGAACCACAATCTAGTAAATAATCTTAAAATGACGATTGATCATTACCAAAAATTTATGAAATAGATCATTTAGACAACTTAGTCTAATAAGTCACTGTGGAGGTCCCTAATTCGTCACCTGATTGCACAGAGGTTGACCTAATCACTGCGGAATTTTCGTTAGACCTAGAATACGCAGATGGTGAAGACACTGACAAGATGCGGAGTCCTCTGAACACGTTGGGTGACAATTTGAGAATGTTTGGGATGTGATTCTCACCACCTAAATGCACATTGTTGCTCCAGGATTGATCTTCAACGGTGCCACTGCTAACAATATAGTACAGTGGTCAAGTGTGTCGACCACTTCACTTACCTGGGAAGTAGGTAGGATCAGCCCTGGTGGCTCAGTGGCTGGTGGGATCTCTGCACGAATACAAAAGGCTTGACTGGCTTTCACCAACTTACGCCACCTATGGCGCCGGCGTGATATCCCATTGTCTGTTAAGGGTCGCGTGTACTGCACAGCAGTCCACTCTGTTCTACTGTATGGCTGTGAAACATGGCTATTCAAGGTGAAAGACATAAGAAGGCTTCAAGTGTCTTAGTACCGTTGCCTTCCTGGTATAGGCCGTATTCCGTGGAGTCACCATGTGAGTAAAGCTGAAGTCAGGTGCAGAGTTTTAGGTAACAGTGGTAAGTCAGCTGATATGTTTGTGAACCTTCATCGACTGAGATGGTTGGGATATGTGTTACATATGCCTAGTCACTGTCTGCCTCGTCACACAATGTTGTCCGAAGTAGGCCCAGGCTGGAAAAAGGCTCGCGGCGGCCAGACTAAAACATGGTATCCATGCATGAAATCCTTGACTGTTGGTTTGAGGCATATGGAGCAACGCAGACCAGTCGGTTGGGGTCTTTGGGACAAGAGCAAACAGTGGTTGGAGACTCTAAGTGATATGGCTGAGAACCGATGTCATTGGTGCAGGTGTATACACACATTATCCTCATCCGAATCCTATACCTAATCTTACCGTTTTCTCACTCTTCCTTTCTCTCTGTTAGTACTTTATATTTCTTTTATTTGGGTTTTATTTTCTTCATCTTCTACTTCACTGCCTTTTTACTTGATAGACGGATATGAGCTGTGGCAACTTGGACTGATGATGTGTGCATCGTATTGCCGGCCATCATGGTAAAAATCTACAGCTGAAGAGAGGGAGCATGAAGAAACTGATGCATATGAGAAGTCATTAGTCTGTTCAAGTTATCAGGTCATCATGATTACGGTGTCTGGAACTGTAGAGTTGGTAATACTCAAAAGCTGACAATTCAAAATGTATATTAACTAAGTTTTACTTTGAAACTCACTCATCATCACCATATCCTAATATTTCTGAAAAAGATACAGACTTTGAAGTATGAATATATTTACACATTTCAAAATAACAAGAATTACAGTATGAACGTATTTAAGCATTCCATTATTGATTTATTGTAAAGCCTCGTATTGAGTCATGACTAGTTGTAAGTCTTGAAAATCAGATTTTTTTTTACTCGTGCATGAATTGAATGCGAAAATCCTGTATATTTACACTTGTACAAAAACAGAAAATAGAATAATAAGAGTATTTAAATAGATGATATATTTTTGGTTATGTATTATATTTATGCCAGTTTTCATTCCTTGAAAATATGACTGATTTCAATAAGTAAAACACATATATGTGCAAATTATACCCAGCTATCTGGAGCATTCTGTTCTAGGGTATTCGAATAATTATTACCCATTTCATTGATACGTTGAAATAAACGTCTCTGTTCAAGTTGTTTATCAAAATCTGATCGAAATCTCCAATCATCCTAATAAAATGTAGGAAAAGGATGCTGAAATTATTCTTTTGGAAATAAGGAAAATGTATTTGCATAAATGAAATATGAATGATAAAAAGAAGTTATACGGCAGATTTAAACTGCTAAGAATTAGTGAATATCAAATAACATCATGAACTGAAATCATTTGGAGAACCATTGAAAACCTGTGAACACTGGACAGCTGTTCCAACTGATTAGTATGCAACCAAGACTCCAACATAAATCGAAACAGGACTTGTTAACCATTCAGTTAGTGAGTCAAGATATAAAATGGTCCAGTTGTTCCTACTCCTACCATTTCATGACATAGCATGACTATCCACCAAGGTCTTGAGTTGGCATACGAATCCTTCCCAACTGGATGACATCAGATGTCATGAGAACTTCAAGATATCCATTTCGAAGCATGTCAATGATGAACATTATACAGTAATGCAGTTGGCACTCTATGAGGATCGATATCAGTTACATGGATACTAATCGTATTTATATACAGTGATAAACCTGCTATAGATAATACCACTGCAAACAATTTGTTCAGTGTAGTCTGTTTTCTTTTACGACTCATTCGGGAATATTTGTCTTAATTTAATCAAGAAAAGCATAGTTCCATGGTAAAGTAAACTGAAAGTTGAACTTATTTACATCAACACGAATCAAAGTAATGTCAGGGGATTAAAAACGTATTTCCCAAAGAATTACACTATTTATTATATGCTGTAACTCTTAATTATGTATGGGCTGGAATCAGTGTTATGGTGTTTAGTTCAGTGATTCCAGGTTTCCAATGGTTCTCCAATTGACATCACCTGTCAATGAATACCAGCTTCGAATCAATAGATCCCTGTGAAACCTAGAAACTGAATAATTAACTAGCTTAGAGAAGTGATTCCTGAGGTTCAAACGAGCAGCAATGACCAGTGCAGTCAATTAAATTGAATATGGTGATAGTTATTCAATGACTGCAATGGATGAAGGTCCCACTTTATCGTGAAATGACAAAAGTGGGTAATATCCACCACCACCACCACAGTGGCCCAATGGTAACGTGCCGGCTGGGGAAGCTGGGGGTCCTGGGTTCGATCCCTGTTGGGATGGGATTGGGAGTGCGCACTGCTGAAGAGTCCCATGCTAAGACGAAACAGATATCCAGTACTCCCAGGTTTACAATATCCCTTCAGCTGATATCAGTCCATGATAAATACCAACCCGAGGTCAATTATCTCCAAAAACCTCAAAAGTGGATTATTTATTTGACCAAATCAACTTATAACCAGCTGAATCTAGGTCACTATCACACGTTTAACGATGACTTTCTTGAAAGTCTAGCTGAACAAACATTAGAAATAGCAAAGCGCTGAATACCTGACTTCGTGAATAGTGTTTAGTAATGATAATTCAGAACAGAGATCTATCGCAATAAAACAGTCATTTGTGTAAAGATGATGTGGCTGCGGTAACATAACTGTTTACCAGACAATCAGTAGTCAATGAATGGTAACCAGAAGGTCAATAAATAGCAGTTAAATATTCCCTTACGAAGGACTACCTTTTTTCGGTTATGATATAATGTATCCTGAGATACCATAAAAATCTGCTAGAGCTAAAGGTGTATTAGTAATCTATCATGAAACTAACTATTAGACTGAGTGTTGTGATATAGTTTATTTAATCTCCCTAGATGACATCAAGGAAATGTTAGATCTTAACGGTTAGAAATGCAACATAACATAGCTAAACGTGGCAGATAGTAAAGCAAATTTATTATTTTGAAATTATGCATAAAACGTGTCAGCACAGATCCTTATTCTTTTCAGCAACTATCACCTATGTTTACTTATAGTTTCTAACTTCAGTTTAAAACGTTTTATATATTTGAGCAAATTGGGTTATCACAAGCAGTTTGTTTAATCGTACCGTATCATAAGAAACCTTGAAGGGGCCAATACGAAGTTTACATTACATTAGAAAACATTCTCTTGATGTGTATATTAATGATGGCTGAACGTACGCGTGCATACTACTCCAAAAAAAATTTAACTTTTAGACTGCGAGTTCCAGGTAAATAGTATGGCAGAAAGAGATTGTCAAAGACCATAAATTGAACAATCTCCTCATTCTCCTGCAAGCAAAGCACAAGCCGAAGCATTCGGCCTTATCGATGTGTGTATATTAGTTTACTTGCTCCTGTGGAGCCGAGTACATCGGCCATACCATGCGCCAGAATATGCAATGCGCTCGTGAACGCCACTCGACTTAGCTGGCAGGAGAGAACGGCAATGTATCCTCAGCTCTGTAACAGAACGCTTAGTAAGCTCAGGACATTTGGCTCCGTGAAAATTCTGTACAAAGTACGACCATGCTACTCGAAAACAGTGAGGCCAAGATATCTGCGCATAGCTAGAGCATTAGCGTTTCAAAAGTCCAAACCATCATTATGCATTCAAAAGAAGTGTATACAACCTTTCTTGGCCATGGTAATCGTAAATTATCAACCACTCTGAATAACTCACATACGCTTTCATTTTGTAATCACCTTGTTTATTTCCTTATTACATACCTTTCCTCTGTGGTGCAATTTATATTGACGTTTAACTAGAAATTACCGTAGAATGTTCTATTCTTCCTACTATATATTCACGAATATACAACTATGAAAACGATCTTATCGAAAAGAAAAATATTTTCACTGCAATCATGCGTTTCCTGCGTTTAAATGGGATTGTTTCGATATATAAACCTAATGTCTGTATTTACAAGTTCACTTGCTTCTAGGGAGTTAAGTACATCAGATATACTACGCGCTCACTTGAAAAATGTGCCCCCCTAACATAACTCAGCCTGGTTGCTGAAGGATGAGCATCAAAACCATCTCCAGCTTTATTGTTGAAAATCTTATAGACTCTGAACATTCCTCTGGAAACCTCATTGAAAGTCCTCTAGGACGTTCGACAAAACCGTTCAAAAGGGGCGAGGATTTGACACTTATATTGAAGCAAAGTTTTGACAACTCACAACCTAAAAACCTCAATTGTTTACCGAAAGGAAACATCCAAAAACACTTTACTATGGCCTGAATCAAGTGCTCTACGTCTCTGTTTATATTTTGTTTTATATTTTATCTATTTATATATATTTCTCTATTTTCACTATATATCAAATCTTATTGTTCACTTGACTTCATAGAACTGTTCAGTTACTGTCTTGTTTATCGCAGTACCATTACACTGCCTACATCTATCGATTAAATTTGGCCTTTGATCAGAAACTCACCTAGAATACTCAACCATTTTACGTATATATTACGATGGTACAGTTATGGAAATGAATCGCCGGAAAGATGATTATCACTGTCGTAACTTTTTATTTTTCAATCCAGAGTTTCTTTGACAAGATATGGTAAAACATTCGATTTACAATAAAATATGAACACAGTAGCGTTTTCCCTAATGTAAGATTACAGTGAACTTTGCTATAAAGGTATAATTGTTGATTAAATGCATGGAACATACCTCCTGAACAGTTTCTGTTCATGATTAACAAAAGGAATTGATCTTAATAAGTAAGTATATAAGATAAATAAAAAATCTGTTGTGAACGGCAGCTGCGAATTGTAGGCCGGTTAGACTGTATCACATGAACTGGGCGTTAGGATGAATGAAACACAGTAGGGTTCTCTTTCTATAATAAGTTAGAAGTGAGCATACTAGGAGCTTCCAAGAAACGGTCAACATTATAGTCATCAAAGTCTCTCAACATTCATCTAGTAACCATATTGCTTGATCGAATGCTGGCCATCAACACGCAAATATCATTGAAAGTAACGATTGAACAGGTGAATTTTAATTGATTATATTTGAGGAAAGTTCTATTTGCCGAGCAATCCTAAAGTAATTTATCCACTCTTAGAGTACCTGTGGTTAAAACTTTTCACTCAAGGTGATTTCGCATAACGTTTAGTATAATATTTACTTTTCATTTCACCATCCTACAGATCTGTTTCACACTAATGGTTCCGATGGCATCAATTCTTTTTGCGGTGATGCAGATATTTAATAGTTTTTAAGCAGACCATGATGTTAACTTCCACCATGTAGACAGAAGTACCGGAGAGATCCTACAGCTGCGCTGTTTAACACTTAATATTAGATGAATCGCACTAATAAGCTCGACAGTCACATCGTACCATTCATTTACAGAGTTTGATCAGCACTATGGAATCGGCATGCAAGTTGATTATAGTCTGTGGACAAATGCAGCGTAGAGGAACGTTTGCATCTTGTATTGCTAAAATATAACAATGCAATCTTTCATATGACTAAAGTCTCTGGTGAAAAGTTGGTGCAATACTGTCAAGAATTCACTTTATTTCATTACCACCTTTTTATCAAGTACACAAAATTATAACTGAATAAATCCAAAAATGCTGCGTTTGCTATTGATGTCTGGAATAAAACTTGTTGATGGTTTAGTCTACGCGAATGACTGGATGGCTGATAATTGTATCTCTCCATCTTCCAGCTTTATACTCAATCAGAGCAACCATTCATTCAGTGATGATAAATTTGGAAATCTTCAAAATACTAAGTTGGGCAAAAAATAAGGTATGCACATGTAGTCATCGTCTACTCTGTCGTTCAAATTACGTTTGTGTTAACAAATGCTAAGGTTAACTTATCTGGAAAATGGTAAAAATCAACGATAGCTGATCCAGATTGTATAGGGTTCTTGTGTAGGGTCCGAAACCGATGGTTGAACTTTAAGTGGAATGGTTCGAGGTCGACAGTACTAGTGAACATGTAGCCATGTCTTTTATTCATCTTGGTTATTATATAAGATCCTTGGCGGAGTCATGAACATGTGTATTGCTGAGGAGTTCCATAAAAGGATGAATCAGCTGTCAAGTGCTCCCAGGTTTCTAATATTCCTCCAACTGATCTCAGTCGATGATGAATACTAACTTGAAATAATATTATATAAGATTTCATGCCTTTCTGGTTTATTTGCCACAACTTCGTCATAGCTAAGACTTTTCTAAAATCTTTGCTTACATTATTTCCATTTCTCTGCTTTCCTTTCAGTCAACATCTATCTTATATGCGGATTTGAAGTGAAGTAGCTTGGACTGACATGCAATAATGTCAGGTTCATAGTGATAACTTTTGTCTGTTTGTTGTCATAACAACTGTGAAACACTAATAGGCCAGTAATTTGATAAGTGCATCAATACATTCAAAAATTTCATGAACTCACCTGGAAATCATTTTGATGATCTCTTGGATTTTCATTGATTTCACCTTCTGGTATATATATACCATATGACTTTCCTTGCTGATAGGTATCCAACTCATCGGTATTACGAGTTTCATGTGCAAATGATTGAGCTGGAATATGGTAAGATGATGGTTGTCCATGTAAACTATATAAAGATTCACTTAAATCTTCACATCGACTTGTAAAATCATCGGATATAACTTGATTAGGATTAACTCTATTTGGATTAATGAACAGATCTCTTTTGTTATCATTATTATCACTAGACATTCCACTGGTATACTGTCTTAAGCTAGAATTCACTCGTCGTCTTGGTAGTTCTGTTCTCTTTGAACGACGTCTCACAAGACTTGCCAAACGACTACGTTTGTGGATACAGAAATCTGCTTCATTCCATCCAGCCTTCAAAATATAGAAGTGAAGGAACTTTGTATTAAAAAATATTGACCACAGAGTAAAAAATTAGGTTAAAAAACACTTTCTCGTACTTGAATATAAACCTGTTGTGCACTTGACCACATGTTCGACATTGGTAATAACAACTTACTGAGTGTCTAAGGGGAGCCATCTTCCATTGACTTATCTTTATCTAATATCTTGGCACAACTGTTTGTTAAGTAGTGGCATCTGTTGACTGTATGTAAGAGTCACTTAGATCAATGTGCATCTGATTTAACTGATTTTCGGGTAATCAAGGACTTGAAAACCAATAAGATTATTAATATCGGTGTAAAACTTGGGCAATAAGATTGTTTCCAGTTGTAATTCATCGTAGACTGACATCAGTTGGAGGAACAAAGGAAATCTGGGAGCACTGGACAGCTGTGCACCCACGACCCGGCCAGGGATTGAACCTGCGACCTTCAGGTTCCGTGGCTAGCACGTTACCACTGCGTCACTGGGTCAGAATCCAATGGTCCTTATTCTCAACTTCTGTTAGTTCACGATATAGTGCATCCTAGGACGAAACAGCTATCCAATGCTCCCAGGTTTCCTTTGTTCCTCCAACTGATGTCAGTCTACGATGAATAACAACTTGAAATATTTCCAAATCCCCACAACTCCCTCAAAACTCAATAAGGTTATTGTTTGAAAGCACCAGAAAGTCATCAAATGTTTTTAGAACATCATAATAAGCGAATGTGGTTCTCTCCGTAGGTGTGTCTTGACAACAGTATACTTTATATACATAGCTCAGTAAAAAAAGTCTGTTACATTAATGAACTCCTAATAATCGACTAAAAATAAACTGCTGGTTTTTTTCAGTAGTGATTGTCCAACCGTATGGTCGATTGAGTCCAAGAGGTATGTAGACTGACCTAGATCTAAATTAATCTATAGTATGCACACCTAAAGATTTGATACTTTTAGTTAGAATCGGTCAGAAGTCGATAGGAGAATCAACTGTAATATTCATTGCTGCATCTTTTATTTACTTTTCAGCTATCATCTGAATGAGATAAAAACTTTCTTCAGTTTAAAGACTCTTAACTGATGCACACAGCAAACTTTTGTACTTATACGACAACATTTTAACTCAGAATATCCCATTACCATTCATATGCAGATAAATCTGTGATAGCGAATCTCTGAATTATACAGACTTGCTACACATATCTTGTCAGTAGTCGGACCTCTTAGCTCAGTTGGTACAGCGTCGGGCCGGAAACCCGGTGGTCGATGGTTCGAATCCGGCAGCCATCCCCATTTTCATCTCACTTTCAATCATCACCCAGTATAAATATACACACGTTTCTGTTTCGCATATAAATGATAAGGGTTGATCCTAATCAAGTTTAACTGCTTCAGTGATGCATTGTGAATAGAAGAAAAAATGACCTAAGACGTACAGAAAAAACGTTGGAGAATACGTCACATCTTAATAAGACGCTATACTGCGGGGACTGAACATCACTAGCTGTTATTGAAGATACTGTTCAACTAAAATTTAACTCAGATTGGAGGTTTCGGGGGATTTTATTGACTGTAAGTTGGTACTAAGTACTAAGTGATATCGGTTAGAGAAACATTGGAAACCTGGAGGCACTCGACAGCTATTTTGTCCTGGTATTTGACTCTTCAGCGGTGCATACCCATAACCTGGCCAGGGGTCGAGCTCAGAACCTTCTGGTTACATGGCTAGCATGTTAACATTGTCCCACTGAGTTGAAATCTAGTGGTCCACACTTTCTTACTGCAGTCAATTCGCGATATAGCGCCAACTACATCCTATAAACTTCTTTTTATTTCCGTATATTTTGAGTATTTTATGTACATGTGATAACACTGCTCAAACATTCATGTTTATTATCCTTAAGTGGCAATGACAACGAAATATCTATGAACATAATTTTACGGTTTATTACCCTAGAGATGAAGGGTTTTATAACCCAATAGAAAGAAATATGATCTGTTTGAGAGCTAACTGAAACACGTTTTTTTTTAGAAAACCAACGGTACCTACTTAAGGAGGATCAGCATGTATGCAACATCTTGCAGGCTAAAAACTCCATTTCAACTTTTATGCATATCTGAATGTAGTCAAAACCGAACAGTATAGTAAGTGAATACTCCATGCCAACTGCAACAATCTGACAAATATTTTACTTGTAGCCATATGTTTATCACATTTGGATCAGAAAATAGCCTATGCGAAAAAGTGAAAGTCCTGAGGAAGAATTGCCATTCATGCAAAGCCACCATAGAAGGTTCAAATACTGGCTTATATCTTTTTGAAGAAAACAAGAAAAGTGGGTGACATGAAAAAATGGACAGAGTTAACCTAATGTTAATAATTTCGCTTTTAAATACAACGACTGAATTTTTCCTGATCACACTGTTCTAACTCCCGTCCGGTCAGTCACTCCTCTTCTTCTCATATCTATTTCTGACTGATCATTCATTTGTTGTATATTACATGGTCAACTGGAAAACAAAAGCTTCACACGATTATCTTCTAATAGAACTAAATTAGATTGTAATGATACTTGTTATTTCCCGTTGCTGTGCAGGGTGGAATTGCCCGACCTCTGTTGATAGATAGATTCCTATGCGGATGCCTCAATACTGGCGGACAAAACGGGCCTCTTCGATTCCTCTGCTAGTCACCAAGATCAATATAACATCCTGAAATTAGATTGTTTTTTGTTGTTAACAACCTAAGTATAAAAGTCTTTGAAACCCAACACTTGTATTTCACTACTTCTCTCATCAAATTTGAATCCATAAGCCTGTTAAGAGAAGTAAAGCTGCGGTTCATTGGTTTAAGCAGTTGACTTTCAACCAACTACCTACCAAGGTTTGAACATCCAAGAAGTATTATTACCTCTAACACAAAAGGTATGGTTCACTGCCCATTGCACAAGGTTGCTGAGTGCATTTCAAGTTTTATGAAGATCATAATAATGATGAATAATACAAAATACTTGCATGTTCATTTTTTTTAGTACAGTTTATGGGCATCACAGAGGTACATGACAGTATAAGCAGTCGCTGACTAAGAATTTCGCCTGTCTTTGTACTAGGCATCTGAGCAAACATCTTTCGCTTCATGACAACGCTGAAGATTTACTGATCAGTAGCAATACATATGCTTTAGTTATATCTTAGTAGAGGTGGTAAAATATTGTTTGGCAATAATCACATTATCAAGCACATATACCAAGGTACTCTTCGAGTACTAATCACTGAATATCTTACTCTTGACAGAGACATTTCTATGGAGAAACACACTTTCGTATATTTCGTAAGATGACTAGGCATTTAAAAGCCGAAATTCGGGTTCATGATAAGACATAATCTGGAAACGATAAACAGTGATATGCATGTAGCTTCCTAAATATTATAACTAACATCCGGCTTTTTTAAGTCATACTGGGTTATTAAGCAACATACTTATCAAAACAGTGTACCTGACTACCAGTTATTATCAGCTAATTTACAATTCTTTCTGTTCCCTATATGTATATTTATTAGATATGATGTAAATATCTAGTGTAAAATTACCGCTTATTTAATTTCCATACATTATATTATTCTTGTTTGCAGAAACATAGTCAAATAATAGGTTATTATCATTTCACTAACTGAGATAGCCATGGTTTGACATACTAGTATTGATGGGGATGACTGTAGGTGAATTGTAAATTTAGACCGCGGCCGGATTCTAATCAGCGACCAGCGGGTTTTCTGCCCGACGCTCTACCAACTGAGCTACAAGGTCTGACTGCTGACCAGATTTTTATTTCACTCCATCACTACGAGTTTTACCCAACTACCAAGTATATTCGTGACACGTTACTACCACTTAGTCATATTCACACTGGTGGTCGGCCAAAATCCATGGCGATGAAGTGAAATAAAAATCTAGTCACTCGTAACTCAGTTGGTAGAGCATCGGACCGAAAACCTAGTGGTCACTCGTTCGAATCCGGCAGCGGTCCAGATTTTCATTCCACCTTTAATCACCACCCAGTATAAATAGGTCATTAATCAAGAATAAATGTCGTTTGAAATCTAGTCTTTATTGTTATTTCCATCGAAACTATTCATAATGACTTATGATGTAATTCGTTTGACAGTGGTTAACAGTGGAATCCAGGACGTACGTTTTGTCTATTTAAGATTCCTCCGCTGAGTGTTCCTTTATCTCAGTGAATGATGGAGCCCATACGCTAACATTTCGGTTCAACAAAACTATCAAAGGGGAGACAAAAGAAACAATAGGTAGTAAGGATTTGATTAACATTTGGAAGCTTGCAGGGGATTTTACTGATTACAGAGTGGTATTCATCATTGAATGACATACGTTGGAGAGACATTGGAAGTCCTCACAGGCTTCCAAAACGAGTTAATCTTGTGTTCATTGGTGACCAGCTTTGAAAGATGATTTCTGAAGTTCTAATGAAAATTCGTGGCCAGTGGGGCAAACCAGGTTGCGCATGAGGACGGTTAATTAACGATGATATTGGATAGAGGTCTAGTAATAACTTGAACCGACAGAAGTAGGAAATATGGACTGGTGGATTCTGTTTCAGTAGCTCAAAGAGGATCTGTTGGCCACGGAAATTGAAAGTTCAGGGTTCGATCTCTGGCGGGGTCATGGGTGCACACTGCTGAGTAAGAATTTGGTTTAAAACTCATTTGTAATAAATTAAACTCTCAAGCAACAATAACGCAGCTGAAACTGACAAAAGTCATCTATCTGTAGTTATCAAACGTTTTTTACTGATTGTTTTCCATCTAAAGTGAATAACCAACACCTTCAGAGAAGCTCACACCTTTTATCAACATTCGGTCTTGTTTTATTGCGTAAGTATTCGACACAGTGTTAGTATGTAAAAAAATATTTGACAATTTTGTCTTTCACTGAATACTAAATTAACTTGTCATATTAACATTGT